TTAAAGATTTAAACCTAATATTAAAAATTGAACCAAATAATTCATTTGCGTTAAGAATTAGAGGATCAATATATCGGACTTTGCATAAATATGAAGAATCACTTGCAGATTTAAATAAATCATTAGAAATTAGTCCAAATAATGTTTTTGCGTTGAGACATTGAGGAATAAGTTATCGTAAGATGTATAAATACAAAGAATCGCTTGCAGATTTAGACAAATTACAAGAAATAGAACCAAATTATATATCTACACTATTTGATCAAGGAGCAATTTATTATAAGATGGGTAAAATGGAAAAATCACTTGCCAATTTCAATAAATTTTTAACAAATTGTCCAAATGACATTGATATATTTTCATATAGAGGTTGGATTTATTATGAAATGAATAAACATGATGAATCAATTGCAGATTGTAACAAAACATTAGAAATTTTAAACAAATTAATCGAAATTGATTTCAATAATATATTTGTATTATTTTTACGAAGTGATACCTACCGAATGTTGGGAAAAGATGATGAAGCGCTTGAAGATATAAACAAATTATTAACAATAAATCCAAATGATATTAATGCATTAGCAAGTCGAGGAATACTTTATCGAGAGTTAAAAACATATGAAGATGCACTTGAAGATGCAAATAAAATATTAGAAAAATATCCGAATTATGCAAAGGCATTAGTTATCAAGGGATCAACTTATTATAAAATGGAAAAATATGACGAAGCTTTTACATTTCTTGAAAAGTCATTAGAAATACATCCATATGATTTTTTTGGGTTGGATTATTTTGTATGCAATATAGATCCAAGTAGAATGGACCTTTATAACTATCATCTTAACACAGATTGGAACTGTGATAATAATTTATATTGGGATTGTGATGTAGAAAAATGTGAATATTGGGATCTTGATGTTGAATTTACTACTAGTGCAGAAATAGCAAAAGGGACAGATGTATGTGATGAATGTAATCAACCTTGTGCAGAGATATATTGTATATCAACAAAGTGGTGTCAACCATGTAATTCAAGCCGTTTTCAAAATAATTTTAAAAATTGGACTAGTAATAATACTAAAATAGATGACTTTATTCAAAAATTCCAACTTGCGGCAGATAGACCATATAAAGTTATTGAATGGATTCCATTTAATAGATTACGCCTTGTAAAATATATGACAAAAGGTGGATTTGGGTCTGTATATTCTGCAATTTGGCAAGATGGACAAATTAGAGGTTGGGATATAAATGATCAAAAGTGGATTCGTGTAGGAATTCAGAGTGTAGCATTAAAAACAATAAATAATCCAATAGATCCAATTTCTGATCTTTTAAAAGAAATTGAATTAAATATTCAGGTAGTTGATGATCCACATTTTATTAGATGTTTAGGTATTACTCAAGATTCTAAAACACATAATTATATGATAGTAATGGAATATGCGACATCAGGTAGTCTTCGTGCATATATGAATACTAATAATATGGATGCAGATGAAAAAGGTCGGATATTATGGGCAATTAGTAAAGGACTTTATCATTTACATGAGAAAAATTTGATTCATCAAGATTTCCATCCAGGAAATCTTTTGCTTATTGATGGATATTTAAGTATTTCAGATTTTGGTTTGTGCAAACAAGAAAATCAAAAATCAAAATCAAAAACTGAAAAAATTTTTGGAGTTTTACCTTATGTTGCACCAGAAGTTTTATGTGGAGAAGAATATACCATGGCATCAGATGTATACTCTTTCGGTATTGTAGCATGGGAATTAATAACTGGTTATCCACCATATTACAATATTCCACATGATAATGGTCTTATATTAAAAATTTGTCACGGTTTACGTCCAGAAATTCCATCAGATGTACCAAAAATAATGGTTAGATTAATTGAGGAATGTTGGGATGCTGATCCTAAAAAAAGGCCAACATCTAAACAATTATTTACTATTATCAATAAATGGTTAATGAGTTCAGCTTTTGATAAATTTATTTTACCGACATCAACACTTCCTTCTTACAATTTACATTCTAAAGCAATTTATACAAGTAGACTTTTTAATACCACAGCTTCAAAACCATCAAATGCATCAACTTTTAGGAAAATGTACAGTAAAGGTAATAATTTATTTAATATTATCATTTATTTGCTTCAATATAATACTAATTTATAATTTTTTATAGGTTCAAGATCCGTTAGATTTAGTAAATTTTTCATAGGTTCAAAATCCATTGGATTTAGTAAATTACTTAGCAAATAATATTACTGGGTACAACCAAGAAACCTTTTTCTATTCTTTATAATTGAATTATTTGTATAAATTTTTTTTATTTATACTATAACTTTTACACCTTTATAATTTATTATTTATGGTCGACTGGTGCGGCCTTGGACAAACTCATATTATCATGTAATATTTTATACTTTTATAATATCATACTTTTTTTGATATGAAAATCTTACAAAAAATAAACACATTTTTATCTTTTTATCATATTGATTGAATTGAAATCTTGATTCAATTAACTGTATTTAATTAAGTAATATACTATGTACTTACTTTTAAGAATAATGGTTTAAATTTGGATGCCTCTATTTGTTGAAAAATTCGATCCACCAATTATAAGCAAGATGTGCGGTACCTTTATTTAATATTAAGGTACGTACGTACGTACAGTAGCCTCACAAAGTATAACACGGTTACACAAAAACATAATTAAAAAACATAACAAAAATACAAATCTACAACGTTAATATACGTACGTATGCTTTTTTGCATAAATTTTGTTATGTTTTTTAATTATGTTTTTGTGTAACCGTGTTATACTTTGTACGTACGTACGTACGTACGTAGCAATAACCGGATATTTTTTGGATATACCAAGAATGAGTGTTATGTGTAGCATAACACGTAGTAGTAGAGTATGGTTATACGGCATTTCAATGTGCGTCTGTACCCAAAATCTTTAATCTGATTGGTTCATATTGTGGCATAGTAGAACGTGCAATTTTTGTGCTTAAGCTTCACTTGTTGCTGCTTCACATGGCTGGCTGATTGTTAGTTTTGTTATAAATTGTCATGCGGTTTGTTCGCATATTTGATCTAGAAATACTTTTGTAAGGTGCTGTTTTTTTCCCTAAGCCATTCAGTATTATCCGGTTGGTGTAGTTGTTATATGTAAATTTATAGGGTATGGTGCTGATGATAGTTGGGAATGTAGAAGATTCGTACTGTATTTTGTTATTGAATGTACTGCACTGTATATAAATATAGGCGTACTATAATGTGTATCCGTACAGTACACCTTTTCATTATATAAAATGTAAATGAGTACTGTACTGCATTGAATAAAAATTATAAACAGGAACAGAGTTTTCCGTAAGTAAAAACGAAGAGTATGGTTTACATGAACGTTAAATGACGTTCGTCTACAAAATCTTGCTGGTAATTGCCGTTTAAAACGTTGTCATGTGACTACGTGTGGTGAGTTTGTGGCTTATCGAAATGTTATTAGAGTTAACGTATTCACATCTGGTTGGATGACTGATGAATGTGGATAAGTTTGAAAGTTGCTTTTCTATATTTGTATATTATATGTGGCTTTTTATGAACGTTTCAACATTACAATATTATAAAAATACTAGTAATATAACTTGTTTTTACTTATTTTAATCACGTTTCTACCTCATCTATTTTAATATCATTTTCTGCATTCATGTTCACGTGAATTTTCTATATGGTAATGAATATTGGCTGTTGATTTAGTGCATTACGATTAAGTTTGAAGAACTTCTTTTAATTCTAATAATTTAAATAAGACATTAAATGTCAATTTAGTGCGTAATAGAAGGAACACTAATTTATTCAAGCATCTAAAATGTGCTACTTCATGAATACATACTATAGTTGATCTGAATATTAACGTTTATTAATCCAAGTATTTAAATAAGCTATTAGTGAATATTTATGTGAATATTTATTATTTAATTCATTTATTCACGTTAATTTAATGGTTAATATAATGAACTTTCGTTAGTCAAAGATGATTTGCATTAATTTTATTATGTGATATAAAAAATATTTATTATCATAATTTAAGCCTTCTTTTTTATACAGTAAATATTATTTAATGAGGGACATCGTTGGCGTTCTTAATTTAAGCATATTTATTAATCCTATCTATTTGTGTTGCCCGGATTGAGCAGAATTGGGCCTAATTTTAGGTCATGTCTTTATATAATCACTCTATGTGATAAATTCGAATTTGTCATGTGATAAATTCGAATTATCACACCTTGTGCCACAATATTTGTGATAAATTCACATTTGTCATGTGATAAATTCGAATTTATCACTTATATTGTGACAAATATATGTGACAAACCGTCAGATTGGCACGAATCACTCCCAGATTCAATCCGAATTACAGATTTGGATCGGATTTGGATTAATCCCAGATTAATTGGGATTTTTAATCCATTTTCGAACACTAATTTAATGCATCATGTATAGGCGATACCTACTTTAAATCAATTGATTATTTACTAAGATGTCATCTATACTATATATATTTTATCCATAAGCTTTGTTAACCTAAGCATTTAAAATAAGCCATCAATTTCACAAATATTTATTAATTTATTTCAGTTTACTTTTTCAATATCTATTTAATACATAATAAAATTTATAATTTAACTATGAATGTATAAACACTTAGCATTTGGTATTACCAAGTGAAAAGTAGAAATTCTAAAAATAAAATGCTTTAGACAACACATTCTGTTATACAAAGAAATCTATTTAAATCAATTTTTAGAATTCCTGATTTTCATTTGTTGGCACCCATTTTATTTGCTTAAGGGTATACATAGATCATTTATCATATGATCTGTGTAGTATAATTAATTTTTATATAGTAAATAAAAATATACTACTAATATAACTTTTGTAAATTTTAGTCTATTGTTGTTATAATTTAATTATATATAGTTTTTTTTTTTTTTTTTATTTATGATTTTGCCGTATATATGATAAGATTAGTTATAATTTTTCTATCATGATGATATATTAATCTAACTATCTATTTATATCTTGTATAACCATTTTCGTATAGCAAATCACTTCTAATTTCTTATTAAAAAACTAGTCTAAAGTACAACTAATTATAGGAACAGGAAAGGGGATCTCCCAACTAAGCTCTCTGTTACACCCACTTTTTAACAGGTGATCTAGTTTTCTTCGAATTTCAATTAAGAAACCACAGGAGAATTCTTCATCAGATAAATTCTATACCTTTACAGGCAGGTTTTACTGCTTCTAAATTACCCTACCCTTATAGAGTTCACCCATATACTTAAGGATGTGCTACCTCTCCACTCAGGTCTTGCCAAACAGACGTTCATCTTGCCTAAGTTCCCAGGATTTATATGGCCACAAGACTTATCTTGAGTTTGCACCGTACTTAATCGGCTCGCATTCCTTCATATAACTTATGCATTATACAAACGCAATGTGGGTCCTCCCACTTTTTAGATTGATGAATATCGTGTTACAGGACTGAGCTCCAACTTTAATAGGCACTATGCAGCATAGCCCTAACCAGGAAGATCGTAGTCATAACACAAGTAGAATTTAAATTTTTTCGTCGTCAGAAGGATTCGAACCCTAGACATGCTGCTTGGGGAGTGACAACTTGATCATTTCACTAAGTCACCACACCCTTATATATAGTTTAAAATAGTTTATTTGCAATAGTAAAATTACAAGATATATATTATTCTTAAAAAACTTACTTTGCTTATAACCAAACATTTCTTGGATGCTATATGTTTTTCTTGGTTACACAAAATAATTAATTCTAATTGGTCAAATCCCATAATAATCTTTTTATAAAATTTTCTTTAAATGCTTATATCTTATTAAATACTTAACTAATCTTAACAATTTTACTATCATTAGAATCAGAAAAATCTGCTTTACAATTTTTATTTAATACTTAAAAACAATTAACTTAATAGCCCATTATGGCAAATTTATAAAATCAAAGCATTTTGATACACTACGAAGTGTGTCATTTACTATTTGTTGTTTGACAAAGTGCATCATTTACTATTTGTTGTTTGATATTTCTTATGTAAAATTATATAGATAATGTCTAACCCATCTTTCCATGTAAATTACATAAGAAGATATACGAGAAGATGGGTTAGATGTTATCTATATGATTTTATATAAAAATATCAAACAACAATTAGTAAATGACACACTTCGTCAAACAACAAATATTAAATAACGCACTTCATAGTGCGTTAAAATATTCTGATTTTATAAATTCACTGTAATGTTACTTCTCACAAGTTAAATACTTTAATTTCTTTAACTTGGAACTTTAAACTCAACTGAGTTATCTTTTATTTT